GAACTTCAAGGAAATAAATGTTTGGAAAAATCCAAATGCCATTGCTTTGTATGTTGTGATGATGTGGTAGCCAGACCCTAAAAGGCCCCCATTGAGTCTAACCTCCTGGTATTCACTCTTTGAGGCTGACCTGAGTAACAAATATGAAGCTGTGGAAATGATGGTATGTTGCTTCTGAGATTAGGTTATGAAAGATGTTGTGGTTGCTGCCTTGCTCTCTATGAACACTTGCTCTGGAGGAAGTCAGCCACCATATCATGAAGATAATCACGCAACCTTATAGACAGAACTGCGTGGTAAACTGAGGCCTCTTGTCAACAGAGGCCATGTGGGTGTCATATTGGAAGAGCCTCTTTAATCTGTTAAATCTTCAGATGATTGCAGCCTTGGTAAACATCTTGACTGCAATCTCGAGACCACAAGCCAGACCCATCCTGCTAAAGTTCTCCTGAATTTCTGATGCATAGAAAATGTGAGATAATGTTTATCACTGTTTTAGTTACTAAGCTACTGTGTTTTAAGTTACTAAGCTCTGAGGAATTTGTTTTACAGCTTTAGGTAACTAATACTGATGGATAGAAGGGAGGAATGAAGAGTAAAGGCTCTGCATTCTAGGCCTGGACTTGTCCTAGCCCCAGGGGTGGAACAGGTGTTAATGTCATTCATTTATGTCCATTCTGGACACTGCTGACCATGTATGGCTAAAAGATGACAAGAAGAAAGGGTTTCACATCCTCTTGCTTCCTCTTCTTTCTCTGCCTTCTTTTTGTTTTTAGGGAGAGGACTAGGAAGACATTGAGAACTCACAGATTTTGTTTTTGACTTGTCAGTTGCCTCTGAGAAAACCTGCATTGGTCTTTGTCCATTTGTTACTAGGCTGTGGGTCCTTGAAAGCAGGGCTTAGATCTTTATTTCTATCCCCATCACCTACCAAGTGAACATATATGAACAGATGAAATTAAGCGGGTAGATGAAATCTCTTCCTCTTCTAAATTCTGCAGGTTCCATTCTTAGAATGGTTCCTGAAGTGGAACCACTTCACTCACAGTTCATCAATGAAGTCTTGATAACAGCAGGCATGCCATCAGTCATTTTCACTGTTAACCCTTTGCTGTGCTGTGCTTAGTTGCTTAGTCTTGTCCAACTCTTTGCAATGCGAAGAACTTAGCCTGCTAGGCTCCTCTGTCCACAGGGATTCTCAAGGCAAGACTACTGGAGTGGGTTGCCATGTATACCTCCAGCGGATCTTCCTAACCCAGGGATCCAACCCAGGTCTCCTGCATTGCAGGCAGATTCTTTACCATCTGAGCCATCCAGGGGAGCCCACTATTAACCCTCCCCACTGCCTATTTCACTATTTTAAAAATCCTCCTATTTAAGCCCTTGCTTTTAAGATCTTCCTTTTACTTTTCCACCCCATTTCTTCTCTGAAATGCTGCTTTAACTGTTGCTCAAGCTCCCCTGATGCAGGAGCACATAAAGAGATTTTCTATCAATACACTAGCAATATGCTACTCTCAAGTGTCCAAGGTCACAGTGGAAGGAATCTTGAACTGAAGCTAGGAGCATTAATTCTGGGCTGCTGTCACTGATTAGTCTACATGTCTTTCGTCAAGTTGCATCCCCTCTATGGACCTCAGTTTATTTTAAACTGAGGTAGTACATCTAGATGAGCTCTTAAGTCACTGGGTTCTCCGAACAAGTTAAGATTCCAAGATGCAATCCAGAAGTGAAACCCATATACCTCTGAGCAACTGTTATGATTACAGTACAAGGTTCCCAGGACTTCCCTTTATTAGCCCAAGGATATTGCCTCAGTGAAAGACTATCTGGTTTACTGGGAAAAGCCTTCTAGTTTTCACAGACATGATCTCTGTGGTTCCAGTTTTGTCACTAACTCTGGGTGATCTTGAAACAGCTCAATAGAATTCCATCACCTCCACTAGCTTTGTTCACAGTGATGCCTCCTAAGGTCTACTTGACTTCACATTCCAGGATGTCTGGTTCTAGATGAGTGATCACACCATCATGATTATCTGGGTCATGAAGATCTTTTTTGTACAGTTCTGTGTATTCTCGCCACCTCTTCTTAATATCTTCTGCTTCTGTTAGGTCCATACCATTTCTGTCCTTTATTGTGCCAATCTTTGCATGACATGTTCCCTTGGTAGCTCTAATTTTCTTGAAGAGATCTCTAGTCTTTCCCATTCTGTTGTTTTCCTCTATTTCTTTGCATTAATCACTGAGGAAGGCTTTCTTATCTCTCCTTGCTATTCTTTGGAACTCTTCATTCAGATGAGTATATCTTTCCCTTTCTCCTTTGTCTTTCGCTTCTCTTCTTTTCACAGCTATTTGTAAGGAATCACTGCACATTGTGACTGCCGCCATGAAATGACACTTGCTCCTTGGAAGAAAAGTTATGACCAACCTAGACAGCTTATTAAAAAGTAGAGACATTACTTTGCCAACAAAGCTCTGCCTAGTCAAAGCTATAGTTTTCCCAGTAGTTATGTATGGATGTGAAAGTTGGGCTACAAAGAAAGCTGAGCGCCGGAGGATTGTTGCTTTTGAACTGTGATGGTGGAGAAGACTTCTGCGAGTCCCTTGGACTACAAGGAGATCCAACCAGTCAATCCTAAAGGAAATCAGTTATGAATATTGGAAGGACTGATGCTGAAGCTGAAACTCCAATACTTTGGCCACCTTCTGGGAAGAACTGACTCTCATGCTGGGCAAGATTGAAGGCGGGAGGAGAAGGGGACGACAGAGGATGAGATGGTTTGATGGCATCACCGACTCAATGGACATGGGTTTGGGTGGACTCCGGGAGTTGGTGATGGACAGGGAGGCCTGGCGTGCTGCGATTCATGGGGTCGCAAAGAGTCGGACACGACTCAGCGACTAAACTGAACTGGGTGATCTTAGGCAAATTCTTCTCCCTGGATAAGAGCATGGAGGTTGCTGCTACACAGAAGAGGGTCGAAGACCTGGAAGTGATTTGGACAGCTTTTCCCAATTCCTTTTCCAGAACCTCGGAGGCTCAGCCCCGGAGCGGGGTCCTGGCCGGCCAGTAGTCCCGTTCCTAGGTGCAATCGAAACTTAAACGACCTCTGCTAACTGAGCTTCGGCTCGGCGGGCGGTAGCTACAGGTGAGTTCTTAAAGGGGCCGCCAGAGCTTGGGTAATACTTGAAGCTGTTGACTTGGCGGGAGTTGCAGGCAAGGGAGAATGAATGAGAAAACGAACGAACAAATTTTCTATTCCCTTCCTTAAATGCATTCATACTTGGAATTAATCACTTAGATTTAAAAAATTCTCTGGGAAAACCGTCAATCTCTTATCAGATTAACTAATCTCCACATTTTACCTACCCTTCTTTAATTCAATTCCTCCAAAACTTTTACTGAGGGGCTAATAGTAACTTCTCAAAAATTAGCACCAAGTGCAAGAATGCAGAGACGGCACCCATCCCCCTCGCAAACGCCTCCCTTTCCCCCCTCCCAGGCTCCGCCCTTTCCCGCCCCCTATCGTGGGTGGCTCGGTCGACACCTCCCAGAGAACGCTTTTCCAGGTTGGGGATCCACCCCCGGGGTGGGTCTCTGTCCGGCTGAGTTGGAAACGACACGCGTTTAGTGAGGGTAAAGGGTGTCTCGGAATGTGTGTCCTGGATCTGGTGTAGGTGAGGTCACATTTCTCTTCCGACACTGTCACTCTTCCACGCTTGGTGCACTACTCGCTCAGAACCGCGGGACACACCGGTGGGCTAGGACGAGGTAAAGGCGGGCTCTTCCAGGGCGTCCCGGCCCACCTGTAGAGTCTGTGCGTCAACTCCTTTGTTCTCAGAACCACTTCGGTGACCGCGCCTTTACGCAAGGAGGTTCACTTCGACGTTCCTCAGGTCCCCTTCTGCCGTCCCCAGCCCCCTCCTGGCCCTCCTCCCTCTTCGAACCCTAAGGTAGCAGCGCTGAGAGCCCGGGGCTCGGCGCGAGCCGCCTCCTCACTTCCTATTGGCTGAGAGCGCTGGGAAAGCGGTCACGTGGGGGCGCGGCAATCCAGATCAAGGGCCGCCATCTTGGCGGAAAGTTTGGGGGGAGAGCGGTTGGGGGCGCGGAAGGAGGCGAGGTTCCGGGGGTGTGGCGGTTAAGAGCTGAGAGGGCGAGCGGGCTAGCGGGCACCGGCGAGTGAGGAGGAGCCGGCGGCTGAGGCGGAGGAAGAGGCAACGGGGGTGCAGCCGCCGAGGGGAGCTCCTCCCCCGTTCCCTCACCCCCCTCTGCACAGCTCCGCGAGCCCCGGGTGGGGCGGGGGGACGTGGAGCGGGGCAGGGCGGGGGAGACGGTCCGGGGCGCACCCCAGCTCCGAGCGCACGCCACTCGCAGGAACTTTGTGGCGGCGCCGCAGGTGTGGGGGCCCGCGGAGGTGTGCATGTGGGGCACGAGGGCGTCGGAGAGCGGCCGCTGTCCTGTCCGGCCCTCGCTGGAGTAGCTCGGAGGAAGCCAACAAGGAATCAGGCAAGCGAGAGGAGGGGGCCCGAGCAGGGCGGGGTGATCAATCCAGTTGGTTCCTTCTCCGAGTGCTTTACTGTCTCTGCTGGTTTAGGGGCCAAGGGTCGGAGCGCCTCTTCACCCCCCAGTAGCAGGTGGGGGGGTATGCCTTCTTATGCGGGGGGAGGGGTGGCCCCACGTCTAGCATTAAGCACCCTTGGAGAAGGGGCAGCTTTCGAGGAGAGTTTGGCAGCTTGCTTCTGTCTGCTCTTAATTTGCAGGGGAACCCAACCTTAGGTAAAAGCTTTATAGATTGACACTGCTGGATTTTGAGGCTCTCTCCTTTCACTTGGGAAAACTTTGCCAGGTGGACTTTTCAAATAGGGCTAAGAGTTTTTCTATTTGAGAATTAGGAGTAAATGCTAGTTTAACCTCTGTTTTGTTCTTTTCTAAATTAAGTTCTGTTTCCTTTCTGTTCTGTGTTCTAAGGTGTGTGCTCTCTTCCTGATTCTGGAGAAAAATGCCGGTCCGGAAGCAAGGTGAGAGTTTACTTCGGAACTCTTGTGGCTATCCCTTGCATTTTTGTTTTGTGCTTGCTGTATTTTACAGATGTTTGTGTAACTGATGAGACAGCACAGCCTTAACCTTACTACTTAGGGAATCTAAGCCTTAATCATTCAGAAGAGGGAAGCACCTAAATGTTTGTCAAACTTTTTTCCCTTGACATCTCTGGACTGGAGAGGCAATTAACTTTTTTCCCCTCTGAAATGTCTGTTTAAAAAGTTTGTGTTGGCGTTTTAATATTTCATTTTATCATTCTTAGTAAACCCTTTCGTGAACGTATGTGAAATACTGGCTAAGAACTACTAGTTTTGAAAGAATACTTGAATTGTACGGATTGTAGTAATTGGTGTTTGTATATCAGATCAACTGAAACTATGTTACTAACACTGATTAAATGATCACTAGAACACATTGGTTACAAACTACTCACCTTGTTTTATTGTGACATAATGAACATTTTTGGAATCATTTCTAAGAACTATTTATGTGTACAGGAATATAGTAGTGTGAATTGACTTGGAGGTTTGGAGAATTGTTTAGGTATCTTGCAGTCATTTGCTGCATAGCTAGTTTGTAGTACTTCCTTATAAATATATAATTTTAATCAAACTTTTTTATTCTTTTCAGATACCCAGAGAGCACTGCACCTTTTGGAAGATTATCGTTCGAGACTAAGCCAAACAGAAGACAGACAGCTCAGAAGTTCCATAGAACGGGTTATTAACATATTCCAGAGCAACCTCTTTCAGGCTTTAATAGGTGGGAATTAAAACTTTATTTGTGACCATTATGTGTCAGCTGGGCTTAGTGCTTCTCTGAATTCACTTATTTTAAACTTAAGAGAGTGATATACTTGGTTCTCTGTGAGGCATGCAGTTACTTGAACATCCAGTGAATTGTGTGTTTTGATACTTAGGTCAGTATCTTTTCCAAAAGTATCTAATAACCAAAAAAACTTTCAGTATGATTATTTCAATGGTCTTTGATAACAAAGTGTAATATCCTAGCATTAAAAAATGAAGAGGTTGCAAAAAGTAATGACTGACTAACTGTTAGCTTGTTTCTGTGTTGGTTTTGTTATTTCTCTGGAATATCTGAAAATATTTGAAGAGTTCTGTGTTTAAGAACATTCATTCTCTTAATATAGACCTCTGTTTAAACTTGGCATTTGTAGAGTTAGAGTTTTAGACTTGAAAAATGATCTTACAGATAATCTTGGTCTAATCTTATTTTACAGACAAGAATATTGAAACAGAGTTTTATTCTTAACTGTAACTTAAATTTGATGTGGTTCATTGTTTTAAAGGAGAACTGAACAAGGGTGCTGAGTTCTACTCCTGACAGTGCTATTGATTGAATGAGATGGTATAAAGCATATAATCTTTTCTAGGTCACTGCATTAGCTGTAGCCTGTGGATGCAGTGGAACAGTGCTTTTAACCTTTTTCCTAAAAAGTAGCTAGATTCGTTTTTAAAGCAAAATCTTATATTTTGTACACAATTCATGGTATATAAAACAAGATGATCTGTTCTGGCCCTTTTCTCTAGGTACCTTGAAAAGTGTACAAACCACTGAACTAGAAAAATTGTCCCTTTCAATTCTAAGAATAAAATGCATTTTTTTTAATCATTGACTATATCACATATTAAAATAAGACATTTCATTGCATTATATTTTTTCCCTCAGTAGTTACAGCCTTATATCTATGTATTGATGGAGTAACTTTTGATGTGATTTGAGGTTAATGTAGCCTATCCTGTCCTACTTTCAAGTTAATGTATTCTATCATATGGTAAATTGATACTCGACTAAATTAGTTTTAGAATTAAAGAAAACGTTAAAAAAGATCACTCAGTACACTTAAATATAATTTAGCATTATTATAAACTTTTGAAAACATACACAACAACAGAGAGAACAGTATAATGAACTATTATATGTCTGTCACTCATGTTTAAAAATGACCAGTATTTTGCTTATTTTGTTTAAACAGATGGACATTTACTCCATTTGAATTTCTAAGTTCTGAGGTTTAAGGTCCAAATGGATCAAATTGGATTCCTCTGAAAAAACAACAGAGGAAGGGAAAATCACTTCTAGTTATTTTCTAAATCACCATTAAACCTAGGAATATTTTATTTAGTAGGCTCACTGTTTAGGAAAAAGTAGTATGACTTGTATGTCTTATTTTACATGTAATTCATAGATAGATGGAGTCCTCTATGTGGAGTCCATGACTTAAGAAAATTAAATCATTAGTGAAGTAGTCAACCAGAACCAACACTTAGATTGAGATGGGAAGTAGATTTGCGATGTTGATGGGGATTTTTTTTTTAATATATTCTGCCTCCTCTATTTTGAATGTGTTTATTTTTATGCATAATTGAATTCTGATAGAGTTAGTTTTCTAATTGTAACTTACAGTTGTAAATCTTTGTCCTGTGTGATTTTATTGGTAGTGAATTTAAGCTTTGCTGTTTAGGTTTACTTATATTTAAGGTCGTATAGAATATAGTATCAGATTTTGGTGTAAGGAAAGTAATACATTTTATGAATTTTGAAACAAGTAAATTTAGTAGAGGGTTTTTTGTGTTTCTATACTATAATTGAATTGTTGACACTACTAAATTAATAAATGCAGTTTTTGGTACATGCTTAAGTTGGATTAACTAATTTTTGAAAAATTTTAGGCCAGTAAGATTTTCTTCCCTTTGCATCTGTACCATTGTTTTTGAAACACTGTGATAGTTTTTTAAACTTGTAAATTACCCTAAGTTAAACTAGAGTCCATTGTGTTTATAGTATGTACTGAAAAATTCTGTGTTAACTGTTTTTTCCTTTAGTAGGTAGTACTTCATCTTCTGAGGTGATACTTGTGAATCATTGAATTAAAGGAAACCTAGGGTCTTGACCATTAATTGTTTCTTTTTTTCTTTCTTTCTTTTTTGACCATTAATTGTTGAAAATCATATGGTGCTTAGGTTTTTGACTTTAAGAGTTTGGAAGTCACTTCCTAGGCTATAGTGAATTACTTAGTTACTACTTGGACTTGGAGTCTACAATAGTTATTTATTGAGTGATTCTTGAATTGGTAGTTTGTATCCACTGTTTTCATGCATTTAAAACAACTCTGTGCAAGGACCTAAGTTGTTATGTTATCCCCTCGCCACCCCCCACCCCATAGTTGATATATTATTAAGGTTAGATTTCTGGCACCTTGAAGGGCTTCCTTGGTGGCTCAACAGTAAAGAATTCACCTGCAATGCAGGGGACATGGGTTCAATCCCTGGGTTGGGAAGATTCCCTGGAGAAGGAGATGGCAACCTACTCCAGTTATTCTTGCCCGAGAAATCCCATGAAGAGAGGACCCTGGCAGACTAGTCCATGGGGTCGCAAGAGTTGGACACAACTTAGCAGCTAAACCACCACCACTTTGTTGTTTTTCAGAGGAATAAGCATGCACATACTGCGCTATATCTGTTTTAAGATACCAATTTTAAAAAACTTTAACATCTCTGAACCTGGGATGAATTTTATAATGGATATATATTGGCATTGGTTTTACATTCTTAGTGGCATGTGATATAATGGTGCATTTTATATTTGATAGTGTCAGTATCAGTAACCTCAATTCAGTGAAATATGGTAATCATTGTTCTTGCTTTGAGGCTTGGTAGTAGTATCCTTGAAGGATGGTTTGTAGATTTAAAAATTATTGAAAGTAGAAGATTTTATTAACTTCTGAGTTTTAGCTAAGTTGTTTCTTTAGAGGTGAGTATTTAAATTATAGTTTTAAAAAAGTCTGTGAACTATGTATTTAAAAAAAATTTATTCCCCAGACATCTGGTGATTATTTTTGTATAAATGGGAAACAAAGTCCACCTGATTTTAATCCCTAATTTAGGTGAGAGCAAGTTGAAAACTTAATATATTTGATTTTGTAGTCTCATTTTCTGTACTTCTAGTTGAAAATTTTGTGAGTAAAATAGATTGGATATGGTTTGATGACAGTCAGCTGTTCAGGTCCATAGTGGTTTGCGGTCATCTTTTATTCTCGGGTTTGTCTGGGATCAGAGAGGATCTTGGTAGTCCTCAAAGATTTTGTACCAGTCTAGACCTCTGGGTTTACTTATGGGACCAGAGAACTCATCTACCTTCCTTGTGCACAGGAGAAAAACCTGGGCTCAAGATCAGACTGGCTTTGGAGACTTTAGTAAGTTGTGTCACATGATTTGTATATTTTATCTGTGATAAATAGCAGTCTTATTTTAAAGCACTATTTTATTTAAATTCTGCACATATTTCAAAATGAAGATGGATTATGCAATGAAACTGTCCATTTCTGAGATTTTTAGCTTCAAATTTGTTTACTGCTACTTTATTAACTTTCACTTGCCCTTGTTAAACATACTGAAGGACATTTAAATTTGGAGATACTAAGTTTCAAGTGTGACTCCTTTTTTATTTTAATTGTAAAAAAAAAAAACCTAAAATCTATCACCTTAACCATTTTTAAATGTGTTGGTTAGCATGTTAAGTATATTCATATTGCTGTGAAACAATTCAGAACTTCTTCATCTTGCAAAATTAAAACTCAATATGTATTAAGCAACAGCTCCCCTTTTCTTCCTCTCTCCGGCCCTTGGTAACCAACATTCTACTTTCTGTCTGTGATTTTGACTACTGTAAGTACCTCATATAGGGAAATCATAAAGTATTTGTCTTTTTGTGACAGGTTTATTTTACTTAGCATAATGTTCTCAAAGTTCATTCATGTTGTAGCATGTGATAGGATTTCCTTCCTTACTAAGGCTGAATAATAGTGAGTGGTGGGGGGTGGCATTGTGTGTGTGTAAATGTGTGTGTGTGTATAAATGTGTGTGTGTCAGATTTTTGCTTATCCATTGATCCCTGGATGGGTGGTTGCATTGTTTTAACCTCTTGACTGTTGTGAACAGTGTGACTGTGTGAGTATGCAAGCATCTCTTTGAGAATCTACTTTCAGTTCTTTTGAGTGTACATGTGAAAGTGGCATTGTAGGATCATATGATAGAAAATTTTTAATTTTTCCAAGGAACCACCATAATGTTTTTCATAGAAATTGCACCTTTTTATAATCTCAGTAACAGCGCATAAGGCTTCCAGTTTCTCCCCAGCTTGGCAACACTTGATATTTTCAAGTTTTTGATAGTAGCCATCCTAGTGGATGTGATAATGTGATTACTTTTTAAGAATGTAAAAAGTAATAATGGCTAATATTTATTAAACACTTTCTATGTGCTGATAAAAATACCTCGTTTAGTCATCATAATTCTGTGAGGTGTATATTCACCTATGAGGTGATTATACCATTTTATAGATTAGGAAAAAGAGGAGATGGGTGATTATGTAGCTTGCCCAAGAATTCTCAGATAGTCAACTGTGGAGCCAGAAACTGGACTAAGCTAATCTGATCCAGAGTCTCTCTTCACCTTCAACCATTAGGGTGGTCTTTATCATAAGTTTAATACTACTCTGTGATAAAGAACATTGACAACAGGTATGTTTAACATAGATGTTGCTTTGTAGGGCCAGTGTTTTTAAAACATTGTTTTTAAGTTTTTACTTTAAAGGAGAATGTTTATAATGATGGAATTTTACCATAATAATGGTAAAATGTCAGAGTTCCTTAGATTTTTTTGCTTATTATTGGTCTCAGTGATATAATATGTTAGTGTATCATTAACTTTGTACACCTGTGTGTGTGTGTGTGTGTGTGT